TGTAAAAGTTTCAAATCAAAAATAACTTAACATACAAAAATTAAAATAACTATCATATAATATAAAATACTATGTGAAACGACGGTAAATATAATATATGTATATATAATATATATAATATATACTATATAGTGATAAATTATTTTATTTAATTCTAGAGAATATCTATATGATTAATCGAATATGGTTACTACTACTTGGCACGTGTTCTCTTACCCTGACTCCAAACGCCAAAATTTTGAGCACGCACTCAATGGTAAACATGCCAGTAAACACCATGTTCATGTAATGTAGAGCAGTCTTGTAGGATTTTTTTTGTTGATAAAACTATAAAAATGAATAAAAAAAACAATGATCAACCATTATAGTGAAAAAAAAATAATAAAAGAAAGAAGAAAGAACGAAAGAAAGAATGAAAAGCATTTAATTGTTCTGATAGTGAACTAAATATAAAAAAGAACACTTCACAAATGTTACACATTATGTTATAACCTTTTTCATCGCATAGACTGATAAAAATTACTCAAAGCTATTTATTTAAATAAAAATATATGTCATCAGTTAGTCAATAACAAAATAAAAAAAAACACAATATAAAATAAAAATCAATATAAAAGGCAGCGATGCGTTTATTTAAATCAATTATGTATTCATTAGTTAATTTTTTTTTTTTGTTAGACGTTGAAAGCAAAAGTTATGCGGAATAATAGAGAAAAAGATAAATAGAAGCAACCTGAAAAAAAAAAATTAAAAAAAAAAATTAAAACCATGATGTGTGTGATATCCACAGCAAATGGGAGTGATCAGCTTAAGCAAATTGTGCATGCAATAAAATATGTTGGTCAATAATTTATTTTAAAAAAAAGTCCAAACAAAAATAACTCTGCTAATAGTCTCCGCGATAAGTACAAATAACGAGACCACGAACTAAACGTGTATAGTGATATTATACTGTCATGATGATATTATTGTCAACAGTTCGTCCGCAGTTGCGGTTTGTTCTCGTCATAATAATTTTTAAAATTATTATTATACACTGCGTAGAATATTAGTATAATAATAATAATTGTTGGTGTTTAGTGCGTAAATTAACTATCTCGTTGGGAAATCATTGTTAATCGGTGATAATTATAATAATAAACGAATTCAGCAAATATTCGACGGTACGGCAATAATTATTATATTATAATAACGACAATACATATGTTACGGCTAAATATATTTTATAATATATATATATATATATATATATATGACGAAACGCGTCCAACGACGCCGACGAGACTTACCTTCATCATAAGTAACAGCGTGTTCAAGACGATGAGTATCATGATGAAATATTCGAACGGTGTCGACACTACCAGCCGCCATATCTTGTATTTCATGCTGTTCCTGTCTTTCGGCATGTACCTCTCCAGCGGTCTCGCTTGTATGGTAAAATCTATACACGATTTCTGAAACACACGTGATCGGTGGTCCTCATCATCATCGTCATCAATACCTCATCACCGGTTGATATTATTGTCACCAGTGATTGGAGCCCAACCAGAGATTAACGTGCAAGTGATGATTATTTGCGGGTAGTGCAAGGAGGAATGGACATCATTTCACAGCTAGCTCTTTTTTGGACATGGGCACAGTCTCTCGATCTATTTTTTTTTAACCGGAATAAAGCCTCGGTTTTTATAGTCGGTTAAAAAGTGCTCATTTTTAAAATGTGGTGTCATATTATTATTCGTAATAAATAATAATGTTATACGTATGTTATGGACGACGAAGAAAATCCTCGAAAATATAGTACGTACATATTGTAGTGCGGTTACGGATACTATGGAGAGCGGTGGGCCAAAAGAGGATTGAAGTTTGTTGAAATTTTTGTGTTAACATGATATTATATTGTGATGAAATTAATGAATTCACTACAAGTGGTGTGGTTAATAATAATAACGCATACCTACTCTTTAACGTTCATTAATTATAGTAGTTTGTAAATTTTAAATCAAATTGCATAAAGACGCAGCCAAGGGGTAAAGCTAGGAATATTGCCCTTAATTTTCCCAAATTTTAAAGAGATTAAAAAATATTTCTATGGTCTATGATAATTAATGCAATTACACATTATTATTGCAGTACGAGAACTGAAACCTAAAATAAAACCTAGAGATCAGTCATGCTAAACTTATGGGAAAACCTCGTGAAACCAACTACCTAACTATAATAACTTTATCAGCACCTCTCAGAGAAAAATCTTGGCTACGCCACCGCGTTATAGCAAATAGAACTAACTAGGTACGAGACAAGTCCTACCTGGTTTTTA